GTTTTATGCAAAGCTTAGAAAGTTTGGATCTCTCAATGAATCATTTCTCGGGAGATATTCCAGAGAGCATTGTGATGCTTAATGCATTGAGTTATCTCAACTTATCCTACAATCAATTGTCTGGTACAATCCCGACGGGGACCCAACTTGACACTTTTCAAGAATCAAGTTAGTACGGAAATCCAAAACTCTGTGGAAAAACACTACATAAGACTTGCGAAGGTGATGAACATAAATTACATGAGGAAGGAGGCAATTCTAAGGATGATGATGATTTTGGTTTGTTCCTTGGTATGAGACTTGGTTTTGCTGTTGGACTATGGAGTGTATTGGGGACCTTATTGCTCAAGAGGTCTTGGGCGACCACTTATTTCCAATTCCTTGATAAAGTGATAGATAATATTTATGTATTTGTCAACGTAAAAGTGAATCAGTGGTTCAATCATCAAATAACATAATTAACTGATGATCATTTTTGTATTTGAGTTATTTCAAAAAGTGTTTTTAGTGATCCCAATGTATATAATGTTGTGTTTTACTAATATTTCAATTAAAGTTCTCTGTCCTTCTAGTCTGCATTTCACTTGGAATCATTGAGTTGCTTGAGACTATGTTGCTGATAATAGCAGATTAAAGTATCATCAAATCAATTTTTTTCTGAGTTATAATATCAGTTAAAGTATAAATTAAAGTTAGCCTGATTTTTTATGAGTAATGATATGTCATGGATCAATTATTTCTAAACTCATATTTATGTTTCATAATAGTTGGATGTTTAGGATGTTATATAAAAAGGGTGATAAAGTAGAGTATTCTATTAAGTCAAAAAAACTTGTTTGATATCAAGAAATACTAAACATTATGATAATTAAAGTCTCATGAATCTTTTTATATGATATAAAAGATTTGAGTGGTATAAATATAAATAAAGTAATGTTTAGGTGTAAGATGTGTAACTACATAGAAAATGTATGTAAATGCCATTTTTTCACAAAATTAAAATTCTCTTTTCTTATATTTATGCCATCGCATAATGAAAGAATATGGGATTTTCAATTGTTGTATTCCTATTATTGTTTTTTGGAAGATTTACATTTATACCACTCAATTCCTATGCCTTCATATATCTAACACTTAAACTTCACTTTTAACATACATAGAACCTTATTTTTGGCGTAAAGTAAGTAAATAATAATATTCCGTTAGATTTAACGTTAATGTAAACTATACGTGAAGATTTAATAGATTAAGGTGATAATAAGCAACATTATAGGCTACACACAAGAATAAACAAAAATTAAATCTATTTAATTATTTTAATACTTAATTCAAATAAATAGCAATCTTCACTTTGATTCGAGTATTAGACAAGCAATGCCGCTCTTTCTCTTAGAACATCCTTAACTAGGAGGTCTACCTACCCTAACCAAAGTCGGAAGATACTCGATATTAGTTAAATAGACAAGCAAAGCCCCTCTTTTTCCAAATATAATTACATTCTGACAAATATAATTAGCAGTTCTCAATGTTCCTTATTATAACTAGCTCAAGAATATGTATGCTCTGACCCAAACCTTTTATCTCAAATTTACTAAAAATTAAAATTTTTAAATTTATTATTTCTTCACAATTCTTCACCGTCGTCGTCACTAGCTATTAGCATATCATCAACATATAAAACAAATATAAAATTTCTAGTACCATTATTGTAAAGCCTCCTATAACATATATATAGATTTTCTACAAGGTCAAATTTTGTTTCCTGATCAAATCTTGTTGGGGAATTAGGGTAAAGAGGATTCAATAATCGACACAAATCAAGAAGAAACGCAGAGATTTAACGAGGTTCGACAAAAATGCTTACGTCCTCGGGAGCAAAGCGGCGGTTTTTTCTTCAATTCAGAAAAAGAGTACAAGATCCTCTATAAATTATCTTGTTTGCTCGTCTATAATTTTACCAATTTACTCAGTTGAATTTTATGTGCAAATTGCATGAAGAATTCTCTTTAAGCACTTCATAAAGTCTGACGTTCGATTTCAACATAGTTTTAATATATATAAAAATATAGCTTTTAATTTCCTTTTTATAAATAATTTATTTAGTCTTCTGATAAACGCTGCTTATAAAAAGCAAAATAAGAGCTTCGAAAAGAACAAAAATATAGCTATATATTTATGCATACAAATATGCATTCTAACATTTTTAGGAAGTCAGTAAGAATGAAATTTTTAATGTAATGTTAAATTTTAAAGTTTAGATGTTAGATATGTAAATAAATAAGAGTTGTGTGGTATGTATGTAAATGTCTTTTTTTTTACCTATTCCTGATAAACTTATTTAATTGAATTGAAATTAAGATTATATTATTTAGTACTTTAGGGCCATGAAGCATAATTATACTCTTCTATTATATATTAAAGTAGCTCAACAAAAGTTATCATATCAATCATTATGTTTTCTTATAATTTTCTACTAAAATATAAGGTTTGCGGGCGTGGTCATACCGGTCGACGAGCTTGGATGCCTATTAAGATTTGGGTGTGGTCACGCCCATATTATGATGTAATTATGTTATAGCCTCTGTTTGCCCGGCATGACCAAACTTTTTTTGGGTGTGGTTACGCCGAACCCTCTACGTATAGTCGAGCAAAGCAATTTCAACATGAAATTTGTCTATCGAGGCCTTGGACTTAAGGTCCGAACACGTAGCGGGGTACTCTAATTGAGAGTCTGCACCAAGGGAATGTTCATATCAGCGTGATATATTCCTGTGTCACAGAAACGAACATCAACCTTGAGGATACTGGAAGCAATGCCGGCTTGGCAACACTCAACTTGAAGCCCGGCAATGATAGTGTATGACTCAACTATATTGTCATGTCACTCGATAAGACTTTCCCGTGTATGTTGCATCAAAAATGGATGTCAATAGTCCTATATTTTATAATTCAGGTGTTCGATTTTTCGATTTCTGTGAATATTATCATCCTTCCCGGTGTAGATTTATTTGCTTCATTAATGATCGGTATAAAAGGAGTAGTTCGTGAAGTCAAAGACATACTCCCTGGTGTGAACATTATAGCTTTTTCCAGTAATAATCTCAATTGTCTTGTAGAATTCTGGGTGGCAACCCAACATGATACCTTTAATGAATCAAGTTACTATGGAAATCCCGACTGTGGGGAATATCACTTCATAAGACCTGTGAAAGTGATGAACAAAAGGCTATGATTAAATAAATACTTCAAATCTTAGTCAGGAAGGATACAAAATATTAATGCAGACCACACAATTACTATGTATTTGCATAAATAGCATTTAAATAATACAATTTTCATGTATACCGCTCAAATGTTTAACTTCATATGAAAAGTATCACTCTCACTATCTTATTAAATGTTAACTAAACATTTTTGTTGTATAAATTTATGAAACCAAAAATGTTATAAATATTATTATAAGAAATTGGGCGTCAAAATTATAAAAATTTTTCAAGAAAATTTATGACTTACGTAAGAATTTATTATTGTTGCTTTCATTTATAAATTAATTAATTATATATTTAGCTTGCGTATTGTATTAGTAAATCCTAATGATCGATTGGGACTCAATTAATGCAGTAAGTCAGTCAACGAGAAAAGTCGGTCAACTATGATGGCTACGGCGCATGTCTGGTTCACGAAAAATTATTCTCGTCCGCACGCAGCTTGCGTGCGGACGCCGATCTGGACCGTAAATCACATGATTTACGGTCCTGATGTATTTCGGTAGGCCCCACCTAAAATTTTTTATTATTTTTTTTAAAAAACGGAAATAATCCTGACCGTAGATCACCGTGATCGACGGCCAGGATCGAACACCGCATGCAGAGATGCATGCGGTGTCCGCACGCAATAATCTCTCCTCGTTCACACACATTATATCAAATCAATAATTTCAAGGGAAATTTACTAAAGTACCACACAATTCTTATAAATTTATATATCTAACATTTACAATTTGATATTTACATTTAAAACACTTTTGGTGCTATATAATTATGCAAAAAACAAATATGCATTTCATCAGTTTTAAAATCTTAGTAGGAATGATATTTTTAATGTGATGTTAAATATTAAAATTTAGGTGTTAGATATGAAAGCACGTGAGAATTGTGCGGTATACATGTAAATGCCCCTTTTTTAATATATTGTTGATAAAGACTTATTTTAATTGAATTGAAATTAAGATTAAAAATTCATCTAATCAAGCATTTTGTTCTCTTTTGGCTCAAGATCTACCTCAAGTAATGTTCGTTGATTGACCTTAAAATGAGGTCAATAATAAATAATGTACAACTGAAGCTAGATTAAACTGAAAAAAGGAAGATTTACATGCATACCACCCAATTTCAAAGTTTTTACATATCTTAACACCTAAACTTCAATTCTTACATATCTTACCCAAGAATGAAAAGCTGTATTCCACCATTTAAAAGTTAAAATGATGATATTTTTTTATGTAATATGAAACTTTTGGACGGTTTAAATGTAAAAAAGCAAAATATATGTGGTAGATTTGTAAATAGATAGAAATTTGGTGGAATGTATGTAAATGACCCCAAAAAGAAAACAAAAATCAACATTTAACGTCTGGCTGAACTTTAATCATACATATATTTATATTGAAAGATTAGTTGACAATTCTTGCGACATTTAACGTCAAAGTCCACAGCTTTGTCGAAAAGTCTTACAAATTAAACTAAATGAACTTCTTACTAATTAATTATGTAGAAAAAGACTATACGAAAAGTATAGGGGAGAATTTTGAAGAAATCTTTCAACCAATGTGCTATAAATAGGGATAGAGCGAGGGAGCCAGAATTATGCCAACTATCATGGCAAGATTTGAGTTTTCTCTGGTGCTAATCCTTACTCTATGTTTTTATTGCTTCAGAGCGGAAAGCGAAGGTGGCTTAGCTATTCGCAAGGTGAACCAACGTTGCAGTGCTGAGGAAAGAGATGCCCTTCTTGATTTTAAGCAAAGTCTATCTGATCCTCAACTCTTTCTCTCGGCTTGGGATATAGACGAGGATTGTTGCACATGGAAGGGAGTGAGTTGTAGTAATAAAACAAATCATGTCATCAAACTTGATTTTTCTGCTTTTTATGGCATTGAGAGTAGCTCTGTATATGCTGCATCATTACATTCATCTTTGTTTCGCTTACGACACTTGCAATATTTGTGCTTGGGAATCATTTTCTTCAATCAAGCGAGGATCCCAAATTCTATTGGTTTCCTCACTAAATTGAGCTATCTTGATCTCTCCACTTCGGGGCATCTTGATCTCTCCAGCTCGGGGCTCGTCGGAGAAATTCCACCTCATATTGGAAACTTGACAAAACTTAGATACCTTGATCTTAGTGAAAATTTTCTAGTTGCTTATAACCTCTTATGGATGACCCACCTCTTCTCTTTACAATTCCTTGAAATGTCGGCTGTGAATCTAACATTCGCTACGAATTGGTTACATGAGATTAGTGTGCTTCCAGCTCTCTCCAATTTGTATTTGGAATCATGCAACTTACAAGTACTTCCGAATTTACTTCCATATTCTAATTTTTCATCAACTATTGAAACATTTGCTCTTGAAGAAAACCATCTCAATGGAAGTTTGCCAAACTGGTTAGGACAATGCAAAAGATTAAACGCATTATACCTCGAATCAAACTTTCTTACTGGAACTATCTCATTTGCCTCTTCAAGTTTATTATGTAATCTAAATTTTTTGTACCTTAGCTATAATAATTTTACAAAATTAAGTGATGGTGGAACTGCTTTAAAATGCAAAGAATATAAATTGACAATAATGGATATCTCTAATAACCAACTGAGCGGAAGCATACCTGAATGGGTTGGAGATATGCTAAATTTAACACACCTTAATTTTGGAAATAATATGTTTGATGGACCAATTCCACGGAGTCTTGGACAACTAACTAACCTAGTTCATTTAGATCTTTGTTCCAATAATTTGCATGGTAGTCTCTCTGAATTTCATTTTGCAAATCTATCACAATTAAAATACCAAGATCTTTCGGATAATCAATTGAATTTTAACATGATTAGTCCTAATTGGACTCCACCATTTAAAATTACTTATCTTTACATAGGTTCTTGTCTAGTTGGTCCTCAATTCCCACTATGGCTTCAAAATCAAAATCTGCTTGTCAATTTAGACCTCTCCAATTGTGGTATTTCTGATGTCATTCCGAGTTGGTTTTGGAATTTATCATCTCAAATAATTTACTTGAACATGTCTCAAAATGCAATAAGAGGTGAACTTCCAATGTCATTAAATATTGCATTAGGGGCAGCTATCGACTTAAGATCAAATCAATTGAAAGGACGCCTTCCTCGGCCAAGGAATTATGTACGTTCTGTATCATTTTCTAATAATAAGTTCTCAAGCGGAATTGAGTTATATTTAAATGGGAACATGAGTTTGTTGGTGGTGCTTGACCTTTCTCAAAATCATCTCTCAAGTGAAATCCCTAATTCTATATGTCAAATGCCTTCAATAATTTTTCTCGACTTATCACATAACAATCTTTCTGGAGAAATTCCAAATTGCAATCATAATTTTTCAAGCTACAAGAAGCTAAAGTTTGTCAGCATTTCATACAACAACTTAAGGGGTTCTATTCCACAATGGATAGGGAATCTACCAATGTTATTTTCATTGCACCTCAACAACAATGTTTTTGAAGGGAATATGCCATTTTTCAAAAATTGCAGCAAGCTTATTACTCTTGACTTGGGAGAAAATTATCTTGCAGGAAGCATACCTTTGTGGATTGGAGAAAAATTATTGTCCCTGAAGATCTTACGCTTACACTCAAATAAATTCCGTGGATCAATTCCCTGGGAGCTATCCAAACTAAAAGATCTACAAATCTTGGATCTTTCAAAAAATTTTCTTTCTGGGCCAATCCCAAAATCTTTTAAATTTCTTAATTCAATGACCGTACAAAATAAGCGGCTTGAATCTCTATATCCTCATGATGGTCTTATATTTCCAAATGAGGGGCTTGATCCGTCGATTTCCATAAATCTTGTCTACATTCCAGGCATACTTTTACCTGATTCAATAATGATTGGTATTAAAGGAATTGTTCGTGAATTCAAAGGCATACTTTCTCTTGTTAATATTATAGATCTTTCTTGTAATAATCTCACTGGTGGTGTTCCTATTGAATTAATGAGCCTTGTTGGATTGATGAGCTTAAATTTATCGAGAAACCAATTCACGGGACATATACCAAACAAAATTGGTGTTATGCAAAGCTTAGAAAGTTTGGATCTCTCATGGAACCATTTCTCAGGAGATATTCCAGAGAGCATTGTGTTGCTCACTGCATTGAGTTTTCTCAACTTATCTTACAATCAATTGTCTGGTAGAATCCCGTCGGGGACCCAACTTGACACATTTTCTGAATCAAGTTACTACAAAAATCCAAAACTCTGTGGAAAACCACTACATACGACATGTGAAGCCGCTGAACATAAAATACGTGATGAAGAAGGCAATTCTCTTAATGATGATGATTTTGGTTTGTTCCTCGGTATGGGGCTTGGTTTTGTTGTTGGACTATGGAGTGTATTGGGGACCTTATTGCTCAAGAGGTCTTGGGCAACCACTTACTTCCAATTCCTTGATAAAGTGATAAATAATATTTATGTATTTGTCAACGTGAAAGTGAATCAGTGGTTTAATTAATAAATAAATAGATAATGAAAGTGAATCAGTGGTTTAATTAATAAATAAATAATTAATTAAATGATCATCTTTTATGTATTTGAGTTATTTCATAACTGTTTGTTTGTAATCCCAATGTATATAATATTGTGGTGTACTAATATTTCAATTGAAGTTCTCTATCTTTTTAGCCTGCATTTCTCTTTGAATCCTTGAGTTGCATGAGGCTATGTTAGTGATAACAGCAGATTAAAGTATTATCAATTTAAAATTATTCTCAATAATAATATTAGTTAAAGTTATGCTATGTCTTCAATCAATTATTCTCAGGAATCTTTTTATATGCTATAAAATATTTGGGTGGTATGAATGTAAAAGGCAAAGTTTACGTGTTAGATGTACAAGTACATAGAAATTTTGTGGTATGCATGTAAATCCCCACATAAATGATGCAAAATATAATATTATATTGATGAAATGTCATCCAATCGTTGCATGTGCAGTGCGAGCAACTGATATGAGGATCCTAAGTCATTAATTCCTGTCCTATTTAGAGGCAACGATTAATTAAATACTTAGAAGTCTAAGCCATGTGGTACTACTTACGTGCATGAATGATAATCACACAAAATTATTTATTTTTTTTTCTTATGTTTATGCCATTGCATAATTAAATACTTACTAGTTTTTTCTTATGTTTATGCCATTTTCAATTGATAATCTCCGACCACGTCATTTCTTGCCATTAGTGTCGTTGCCTACCACCATCAATCAAAACATTACTTTTTAACATGTCACCATTAAAATTAATGAAAATTACATTGATTTTTTTCTTCTCATGCTGATTAAACTGCTAATAATATTTGATTGATCATTAAACTCAGTATTATTTTGATAAAACAGCTTTGTACGTTCGATTATAATATGAGCATGCAAAGTACGTAAGATACTTGATTGATTAAAAGAAGATTAGTGAGACATCACCATCGCTGCCGGAGCCATGGCGACTGCCATACCATTCGCCCGGGCCGGGCTGCCAGTCCCCCCGCCGGCGAAAAAGTCGACGAATGGTTTAAAGGATTAGATGAAGAGGTGGATGGAAAGGTGGTGAGAAGAACAAGTGAGCTGAGAATGCAGACGAAAGACAATAAGGATGGAATATGATAAGAATCTATGTTGTCAGACTATAAATAAATAAATAAACAGTTTGGAGTGTGACAGAAGGTAAATTTTGCGTTATTTATAGAAAGGGGAGAAGAACATGAAGCAATCTTTTTTTCTTTTATTTTTTTCATAATTTTTTTTTATTTAATGCCTTGCAATTTGAATTAAGATTAATGGAGCATCGTCTATGAGTTATTCTGAGTAATTCAAAAACAGCCAACGAGAAGGCCAGATAAAAGGCCGGATTTTAAGAGAAGATCGGTTATGAAAAATCATGCTTAGCCATTGTACCAAATAAAGCTTAAATGAAGCTATGCTTGCTAGATGAGTGAATACATCTGTCAAGTCTACTCCTGAAATTTGACTGAATCCCTTTTGCAACAAGTCTAGTGACATGTCGGGCATTTTCAACTTTGGCAAACCTTTCTACTTCTTAAACACCCATTTGTAGCGAACAACTTCCTTGCCTTGAGGTAATTTTAAAAACCCCACAAGTTTTATCAATCTGAAGCTCCACTTATCTGCTAGGCATTTTCTTCTGATCATCATCTTTAAATATTGAAGAAGATGTTGTATGTAACATACAAACTCATCAAATACATTGTCTCTACTAATGATCACTTTTTTAGTTTCTCGACACCATAACATAACATTTAATTCCAATTTTATAACTAAGAAATACACATTTTATCGATATAGGCTCTAATTTACGATTATTAATATGACAATATGGAGGGAAATTTAAAATTCTTAAATTAAAATAATCTGTGGGTTTACCTGACCAAATCTCTTGTGGATTTTTCTTATCAATAACAATAGAATGAGAGCGATACACCTAGTAACAAGTTGTAGAATCAATAATTAACCCTTCTCCATGTTCCTTATCATAACTATCCCAATAATATATAAGGTATGACCCAAATCCTTTATCTCAAATTTACTATCAATTAAAATTTTTAAATTTATTGTCACTTCACAGTTGTCACTAGCTATTAACATATCATCAACATATAAAACTAATATATAACATTGCTCTAGAAGAACCTTTTATAATAAACACAAATATCATAAACAATCCTCTCGTAAGAATTAAGAATTGTGAATAAATAAAATTTCTTGTATCATTATTTTGAAAATTTCTGTAACATATATAAAGATTTTTGTACGAGTACAAACTTTGTTTCTTGATCAAATATATCCCTCTAGCTAGCTTATGTAGATAACCTCCTCAAATTCTCCATGTAGGATAGCTATTTTTTAATCCATTTGTTCGAGCTCTAGATCAACAGATAAAATAACTCTGATCAAAGTCCGCTTTAGAATAGATGAGAAAATCTCATTGAAATATACTTCTTCCTTCCAAGTGATTCCCTTTGTCACTAATTGAGCCTTACATATGTCTTCCTCAATAGCTTATATACTCACTTATATATTCATTTGCAGCCCACTATCTATTTATTTTATTGTTTTCAACAAGTTCCCAAGTAAAATTATTCTTCAATCTGTTATATTTTTATTTATGACTCACATTTATTTTAATAACTTATGAGATTTATTTTTGCTAACTTAAGTTATTAATTTTCATAACTCATAACTTATGTCATAAATTATGACAACTTATGATATTTATTTTGATAACTTAAGTCATTAATTTTCTTAACTCATAACTTATGTCATAAATTATGACAACTTATGATATTTATTTTGATAACTTAAGTCATTAATTTTCTTAACTCATAACTTATGTCATAAATTATGACAACTTATGATATTTATTTTGATAACTTAAGTTATTTATTTTCTTAACTCATAACTTATGTCATAATTTATGATAACTTAAGATATTTATTTTTGTAACTCTATAACCCCTAAAATAAATAAATGTTACTAACTTATGTCATTGATTTTATTAATAAAAATCAATTAATTTATTAATTATCATAAATCCTATTGGTTAGTAACCCCCTTGATGGATGGTGGATAAATAGAGCATGAATTTGAGAATGGGTCCTCTCTCTACCCAACACACCTCGTACATTTCTCTCCATCAGAAAGTACAGAAAGTTTTAAGGAATTAGAGAGAGAAACTCCATCTCTTCAAGATCAAATTTGTTCATCATGAATACAGGTATGCGTCGCTTTATTTTTACATATGTAAAAATCATGAATTTAAAAGATCTTGGCTATTATGTACTTTTCTTTTGAAATTTGTGTATAAAGTTGAAACATGAATTTTCTAACAT